GACTACCCGTTCTACGACCGGGCGCTGGTTAGGCTAAACCTTCCACAGAATTTGCGACTTTAATTTTATAACCGAATAAAATCGCTAAGACAAATGCTGCCAACAACTCTATTATGACAATTTTTTGGAACAGAAGATGCACGCAAATTCGCTACATGATGCCTCCCTCAGAAATGAATTCAGCCATTTTGAAACATAGCAGTATACTGGTTCTGCTATGTACTAAAACAAACTCGGATTATCGCACAAATACCTATTTAATTATGAAACAAGATGGTGAGAGAATTTACTGTAGTAACTATTGATCAACAGAGTAAAGAATGATAAGTTAAATTTAAATAAATATGCGGTTTCAGATGTATGTAGAGACAGAGATGTGCCTCAATTACATAATTATTCAAAATTTTAGTAGTTCGTTCCAATGACATTTCAATGAATATAACATGAGTGGATGAAAATTTCTTCAGCTCAAATTCTCTACCAAATGTTAGACAGCTGCGGCACTCCTCTAAAAATCCTGACTGTTTCTAGTAGCGCTCCATTCTGCGGTTTATGCACGTTAATCGCTTCGGCAATCGACCGAGGGCACCAATCACAACAGCAGTGACTTCAGGTTTACTCTTTAGATCTCTACATTTTCATCCACAATTCTTGATATTTAAGTAACCTTTCTTTCCCCTTAACAACAATGTTGCTAACCGAGGATGGTATATCTGTGATTTGCGACCCTCGTCATTTTGTTTACCAATACGATATCCAGACACCACTATTGCTAGATGTTTCTACCGTTGCTTTGCCACTGGTAACTAAGCCTGCTTGCAGAAATGCCAGTAAACTAGTTTAGCAGCGCTTTCTCGATTTTAGAGCGTTTTTAAACTGTGAATTACACGGGCCACAACAAACTGCGCTTGACATATTCTGCACCTTGCTTCTGACCAAATGCGCAGGATTTTGGCTTTATATGAGTTCGTCTTCAGTGCATGATGTTGGGTACCTACTGCAATGGCTTCCGTTTCGCAATAGAGTCCATTTCTTGATAGCCAGTTGAAAGTTTTATGGATACCCATGTCTTTACCAAGTTGACGATGATACTGTTCACGAAACTTGTATCAAGGAATCTCAACATCTTCGTGGTGGTCACTGTCATATCCAAATATTTTCTACTCTAGTTTGCACAAACAGCTAACCTTTATGGGCCTCAGCTCCCTATTCCTCCTTGT